CCTGCCTCTGCTTTGATGAGATTGCTCTGAATTCTAGTGTGCAGGAAGCCGAGGCCGAAGAACAACAGGAGCGACCTAGAGCACCTGCAGCAGCCAACGTACCAGCACCGAAGGAGGCGGACCGATGTGAAGCTATAGAAGTCAACCGAAGTCAACCATGTGCGCAACTGTTCTACCTCATCGATCTCAAAGACCAGAAAGACTTCCAGAAAGCTTTCCGAGTGAAAGCAGCCGTTACCCACGTGGTCATTGCTCGTGGGAATCGATGATGGTTCACAGACAAGCACCATACAATTACCTGACGCCATGGTTGCTTCAATCATGGGGATCAGCTGCAGGTGAAGCATACATCATCGCGTGCCCTTGTTGTTGAACTTGTTTATAAGAAGGCAAAAAGCACATGCAGGTGGGTTCGCTTGCGGCTCGCACCAACGCATGCTGATTGTTGTTATCAGACACAAGTTTTCAGCTAGGCTCACTCATCTCGAGGGAGTGTTCACTCTAAGAAGAATCTCCAACGCGGGTTCGGTGAATGATCATGGGGCTCCTGAATGGGAGGTGGTGAGTTTAGATCCCGTAGGGCGTGAAGATGCTTATTTTTTCCTGCAACGATGCAAGAATAGAGCATAGAATTCAAGTCGATCGACTCCTTTTCTCTCTTCTCGACGCTTCCAGCAGTCTCGCTCGATGTGCATGAGCGCACAACACAAAACTTACACGAGTCGATGAGGAGCTTGATCCGCGTTCCTCTGACCTCTCCGCCTGAGTCATCCTGGTCTCAAGAGCCCCTCTCAGAGTCTCGTTGCTCCTCCTCTAGCATGCTTCCCCTGGCAGCGCCAAGAGCTTTGGAAAGGAGAGGTGGGGGCGGGAGGTGGAAGGAGGAGGGAGGGCCTATAAACCCTGAAGCCTCCGGTTGCCTCCTGGGAATTAAAGGTCGCCGGTGTGAGGCCCAGGGATGGCGGGAGGGACGGCCAAGGCCATGGCGCGCGGGCTGGCGTTGCTGAGCTGCCTGAGGCTGACGAGCAGGTCTGCTGCTGGAGGTTCCTGTGCTCGATTGGCTGAAGGATGGCAGTGTGTGGAACTACCAGTGCTCTCAGAGTGGCGAGGGTTGCACCAACAACATGCTGGGGCTGTTAGGGTTGGTGCTTCGCACCCCCAGCGCCTTCTGTGACTCCTGTGCTGCAGGATGTGCGCAGCTGCTTCCAAGACTCCTTCCACCGCCGCCTGTCCTACATGGGTTCAGATCGAACTTGACAACGCGTGCTCCTCATGCACACAGCCGACATGCGCATCCAGACAGTACTCCGCAGAGCAGTTCAACTTCTTCCAGGGGTATGATGAGACCTCCTCTGCTCTCTTCGTGACCACAAGGAAACTGGGCAGGGCTCGTCCTCTCACGCAAGGCGGAGCTGTGATCGATTGGACGAGCGAGCTTGAGACGTGCGGGGGAAGATACACCAAGTACGCCCTGCTCCTCTCTCACGCTTGTTGAGCTACTTGCAGATGCAGTCTGGCCAAGTGTTCGACTCAGTGGATGCTGATCGAGAGGTATACCGACAGCACATGCTCGACCAACCCGTACGAGATCATCTACCGCAAGGCCACGAGGAATGCTCTCGTGAGTTGAGTGATGGAGGAGGAGGCAACCTTGTCAACGGAATTTGCTGCAGCTGATGAAGGTCGACCAACCATGCACACCCCTCAATTGCCAGAAGAAGACCTACTTCAACAAGATCACCTATTATGAGTCAAGGTTCCTGTCTGTCTACTGATCATCTTTTCTCTGAGAAAAGCATCACAGGATTTGTACCAACCAGCTCTTCTCAAATCCATCTCAGTTGACGTCCTTGCTAACGCCTGATGCGACATACCTCACGACCTTGTAGACTCTTTATTCGCTCTGGAGCTTGAACTGACCTCACAACAGTTACTTCTCAGAGACGGCAACCAGTTGTGGCGTTAACAATCTGAACGCGATTCATCTGGTTGGACAATCGCAGTGCATTCCCTACATGGTTTGATACCCGTGACACGATTCCTCGTCCTGATTGCATGCAGGACATTTTCACGGATGCTCTTCCGTCAAGTGAGGACTACTTGAGCTACACTTGCAGCACCAGAGCATTGTCTCACTGTCGTGACAGCACCGTATGCAACTTCGTCGCTGTCTACATGAGTCTGACGAAGTTTCAAGTGTTCCAACTGTTATTCCAATCAGACGTTTTCGTCGACGTCGCAGCAGTACGTCTTGGAGATGCTTTTGAACTCGTCCATGATCTCCTCGACTTGTGACGCTTGTCTTGGTTTGCTGCAGATGCATTCAAATGAATCAAAATATGACGAAGTTAGCGATTCAAAGCAACGCACAGCTCTGTACTTCTCTCATCATACAAGATTTCTACAGTGATTCGACGTGTACCAATGTGATTCAGCAGGTTTTATACTTTCACTCATGCCAACCCTGACTCTTTCAAAGCATCTGATAGCAGGAGCCGCCATCACTTCAGCATGCAAGCCTCAAAGTTGTTTGCCGCTTGACACGAGCAATACCAGTCAAGGCACCAATTACATGTCGGTCTACTGCCTTACTAACTTCCCTTCTCCTCCTTCGCCGATTCCTGGCAAACTCGTGAGATTGATCTCAACCCTCCATTCTCATTGCGTGATGCATCTCGTCAGATGGAGTACAAAGTCAAGACAACATGGTACAACCCCACGTGCTCAGGCCGCCCCGTCGAGATTCTCTACACGTTGGATAAGTGTGTGACGTTGAGCTGATTTTGTGTATCTGATGAGTTGAGCAGCATGTGCGTATGGAATACGGACACCAACGACAACACCTACTTGCGGGTAGACACGAAGCAGCAGAAGACATACTACTACTCCTATGGCGATCACAAGTGTCAGAACTCCGTTAGCTCGCAGTCATGGGCGTCAGAGTTGCAAACTTCTCAGCAATGTAGCGCAAGCATTCAGTGTGGGATGACTCAGACGCCGCAGTTCTTCGATCCCAACTCGAATGTCGACATGTCTACGTGTTTGTCCAGCTTCACCACTGTATCGATTCTTGTCAACGCTGCCTGTACCAACGGTGCTGCTTGAGCTTGCCATGACTTTACGATGACTCTAGGCTCACAGGAAGCGACCCTTTGGCATTGATCTTGGTTGTTCTGTTTGGACTTCTACCGCTAACATTTACTATGTTTTGAAACGTATTCAGCCTTCATCGTCTACTTCCTCTTCTTCATCTTTCTCTGACGGGAAAGCTTTTTGTACTGTCTTGGTTATAAAATTCTTTGCATCCTTTTTGTGCTAGGCGTCATCTTTGATTCATCTCAAAGACGCCAACTTACCTCATCTTCTACGATGTTGCTCTCAAGAAACTGGCTAGCATTGTACAAATGGTTGAAGCGCTTTGCGCGTATGCTCGAGTTCTCCACATCCTACATCTGATCAGTTTTTCCTACAAGAGCAATTTTGACGCTACCGATCTCTTGACCTGACAACGATCACACCGTTAGAGTTTGAAGCACTCAGCGCAGCTCTACTCAACCTCTCCCAACAACCTGTTGCGCCTCCGTCTCCTCTCAAGAAAGGTCCAAAACTCTTTGACACTCATGTATGCTCTGAACTTTCGGTTCATAATGATGGAAGTCGGGTCTTTCAGGGCGATTCCTGACTCCTGGCTCATTCTCTTTCAGCATCGAATTTCCTTGAGCCGTCATGATTGATTCACCTTGCCAAGCTTGTCGGCAACGGCCAGGATGTACTCTGATAACTTTCAAGCTTCCATCACGGATGTCACATGAAGGATTGTATTACTTCTTCGAGGATGACATTCTGCTTCCAGATTCCTATGGCTCGCATCTGTTCTTCAGACCTGCATTGATGTTAGGCAGACATCAAGCACACATGTTCAACACAGCTCTCTACCCGGACTGATCGCAAGCAGAAATACCGTAGTCGTCAGGGGCATACACATCAGCTCCTTGTGAGACCTGACGAGCTTATCACTTCAACCGCAAGAAGACGCTGCTGGTGCCACCAAGAACGTCGAGATCTCGTGGTGTTCGTTCAAGATTGAGATGTGCAGGGGGGAGGAGCGAGTGTTGCAGGTTGAGTTGACACAAGCTGGGGCGACAAGCGCTCAGGTCATATGCTGCATCATCATATGCATCGAATCTACCTTGGCTCTCAAGCAGCAGCCTAACAAGCGCCATTGAGCCAGAGCGAACTGCTTCATGCAGCGGAGTGAAACCTTCTTTCGTTCTCGCCTCCAGGTCCGCCTTCAGCTCTATCAGCACTCCAGCGCACTCCTCGTGCCCTTCTTCGACTGCTCGATGGAGCGGAGAGACATGACTGTAACTGGCAGCTGCGTTCACATTCGCGCCGTTGTCGCACAAGACTCGTACCTACATGGCAGTCAATGCGCGCATATCGCTACCTCAAGGCCAACAGCGTTTGACGAGCCTTCGCCTGAGGCAACGTGGAGTGCAGTGAGCCCGGCGAGATCTTTCTCCTCTATGTCTACTCCTGTCTGCGAGTGAAGCCTCAGTTCGACCCCCCTCAGCGCTTTCTCCTCACTTTCAACAGTGCGTCAATCTCCTGAACATCGTCATCGCCAGCCAGGGAATGCAGTAATGTCCAGACCATTCTGCGCGGGTGCTAGGGGGTGCGCATAGAGCGCAAGGAGAAGAAATAACGACAAGAGACAGGAGCGCACAAGCAGCTGGTGGCAGTGTGACCCACCAGTCAAGAGAGCAAAGCGATAGACAGAGGAGGAGCAGGAGGAGACACCAAAGCTATGCTGGTGCTGGTGCTGGTGGTGGTGGTGGTGGTGGTGGTGGTGCTGCTGCTGGTGGTGGTGGTGGTGCTGCTGGTGCTGCTGCGGCTGCTGGTGCTGGTGCTGGTGCTGCTGCCCTTGATGTTGTTGCTGCTACTGCTACTGCTGCTGCTGCTGCTGCTGCTGCTGCTGCTGCTACTGCCCTTGATGTTGTTGCTGCTGCTGCTACTGCTACTGCTGCTGCTGCTGCTGCTGCTACTGCTGGTGCTGGTGCTGGTGCTGGTGCTGGTGCTGCTGCTGCCCCTGATGTTGTTGCTGCTGGTGGTGCTGGTGGTGCTGGTAGTCGTGCGGGCGAGGCTTGCTTCCTCTTGCTTCCGTCAGAGGAGAACTTGACAGTCACAAGAGCCTGGTATCAGGCGGGCAGCAGGGCGGGCAGGTCCTGCAGGAGGATCCTGTAACCCAGGGGATGGCCCGTCACTAAGGGATTCCCTGATTCGCTGATTTCCAATAATATTTTCAAAACATATTTCATCTTTGATATCTTAATTTTATTTACTAAATTGAAAGAGTAGAATTACCAAATCAGGAAATTTTATCCCAATAGTTGACCCCCTGCGACGGTTTTCGGGTTGCGCCGCCGCCGTCAATGCGAAAGAGCGGAAGGAGCACGGGCGGAGGGGAGGGAGGGAGGGAGGATACGACGAGGCAGGAAGACGTTCCCTCCCTCACAGATCAAGTTACTCGCTGCTTGAGAGTGGATGGGATCGAAGGAAGGGTTCCACGTACAGACGTGGAGCAGGGTCTCCGTGGCTTGTTCGGCGTTTTCGGCGAAGTGGAAATGGTGAAGCTGTTGCAGCCTGAGGGTAGTCCTGCGGCGACGAGGTCCTCTCCTTCCTCAAGAACCAGCCATGAACGTCAAGCCGTCATCGCCTTTAAGAGTCGTGACGCAGCGCGGCAGGCGATTGCCAGGCTTCAGGGGTTCGCCATCTGGGGGAAGCCTCTGCTCCTTTCGTTCTGCAGTGAGACGAAGGGAGAGGAAGAATACGAAGAGAGCAAGAAGCAGGCGATCAAATACCCCAAGAGCGCTCCTCCCAAGAGACAAGACGGGGTTGGTGAAGAGATCTCCGACAGGATGAAGAGCGTGAAGAGGAATATGATGAACGAGTTCGAAGGTAAGTCGCCTGAGCCTTCGAGGGAGATGTCTGCATCTCTACCGCACAAGAAGTTTGCTGCCGACTATGAGCATCGCGGAGAGAGCGCGATTGATCGCCTTGATCGTCTCATGCTGGAGCGACTTATCCAGGATGCAAATTCTCTCCATACTCGTGAGGAGGTGAAGGCAGGCCGCCGGTCCGGAGTAGACCTGGCGGATTTGAATGCAAACGCCAGGGAGCCAAGAAGGTTCGAAGGATCTCAGAGTGCGAGTCAACAAGGTGAGGCAGCAAGCTCTCCCATCTTTCTCCCCCACCACCTGATCGCCAACAGCAGAAGTCGCTGCTGCAAAGCGAAAAGTCAACGACATGTCGGCCTTGTCGGACTTGGAAGAAGGCTCCGATCTTGTTGTCTCCAATTCATCAGTATGCAGCAATGATGCCGAGAGTGCTGGTGGTATCGAGTACGAGTCCAATGTTCAGGTATTGCCTGTGCAGCACGAGGGGGTGACATATGAACCTCATTGCAAACGTCAGGCTTCGGTCTCCTCAAACTCTTCATATCAGAAGAATATGATGAGCGATTCCCGCACAAAATCATCCGCTGTAAGCGCTGCTTGTGGCTGGGATGATCCTCTTGATATTTTTTCTACAGGGATCCAAGAAGCAGGCGAATTCCGAAGACTCCGACTCCGATTCTCCGCTATCGCGCGATGACCTGGATTATCGCCAAAATGATCTTGACTTGGAGTCGATCAGTGATGAGGATGAAAATGCAGAATTCAATGAGTTGGCATCAAAAGAAATAGATAGCTTGATGCAGAACTTTGAGGGGAACGATGCTATGGAAAGCAAATTGTTACAGCTGAAAGAAATGTTGAGCATCACGACCTACATTCGTGAACTGGACACGCTGATGAAAAATTTGGATTCGCTGAAACAATTGAATGATTCTAAAGGTGACTCCAAAGCAAAGGGAGAGAGTGTCAAACCACAGGAGCAGCAGCTGAAGGCAAATCCCTCAATGGCAGCGAGTCGGTTGCAAGCGAGTAGAGAAGACGAACAGCTCAAACAGCTGGAGCAGCGCGAGTTGAAGTTGCAAGAGGCTGCCAAACGATTGCAGTCGATCGAACAAAAGTTGAATAGCATACCCCAAGGTATTAGACGCCCTCTTTCCTTTCACTGCTGACATATTTTGAAGAATTTATCGAGGGGAAAGTAATGAAATCAGTGTCACTGGACAAGGAAGCTGACCAGAGCTATGAGTCCTCTGACTTCGATCACAGAATTTCAAGCGAAATCTCTTCCATCTCGAGCAGGTCGATTGCCTGCCAATGTGAGTTGAAGCTGACTCGAAGAGTGTAGCAACGAAGCTGATGAAGACTACGATGATTCATACATGCACCGTCAGGAGAACAAGAGTCGACGAGATCAAACGAGAGACCCGAAACCAACTCCGATTCCTGGAGTCAAGAATTCGCCTTCAGAAAATAGCTCGCCAGGCAGGAACACGTCACTGAGCAGGAATGAGAAAAGCAACACCGTGCCCATGGAGGATCGCGGGTTGTCCTTTTCGAACATGCCCAATGAGCTCAAGACTGAGCTTGAAGACTTGCAGAAGCTGCAAGACCGGATAGCTTACCTCAAAGATCTGCTTGCCGTCACGAAAGAACAGCAGCGTCTGCTGGAGGTGGCTGGCACGGGGGTAGATACTGAGTCGGGCGACTTTCCGTTCGACGCAGACGAGGAATCAGGAGGTGACGAGTGGCCCAACTTTCATCGCCACGAGGGTCCTCAAGGCGCAGAGCACAGGGCAGGAGAGAGAACGAATGGCGATAGGGAGGTCAGACAACCCGCTCGTCCTCAGAGCAGACTGTCCGAAGGCGCAAGACCAACCTCGAGGCTGTCATGGGCGGATGAGGAAGCTGGGATTCATCGGTACCTTCCAACGGACGATGCGTCAGACCTGCCTTACCGAACCTCTTCTCGCCTTTCGCGTCTAAGTGAGAGCAACGGGACAGACTCCGTGTGTCAAACTCCAGACGTTGACGAACTAGACTCGTTGCTTGCGTCGAGCATTCTTGACTATCAAGACATCAAGCTCGCATCCATCTTCTGCAGATCTCTCTCCTCACAGCCGGACAGGATAAACTTTCTACAAGATTTCTTCTGCTTCTTTGAATCTAGATCCGCTTTTTTGGACAACGAGACGGCCGTCGAAAACGAGCGAGAGATGCCCGCGTTCTATCGAGCCTGGCAGGTCAACTCTTGGAGACTTCTGACCTTGTTGATGTGGGGAAGGAAACTTAGACTGTCTGCAGGAAGGGGAGGCAGCCGGAAGGTCCTCCAAGGACTCGGAGACTCTTGCGAAGCATCGGATGATGAGCGACGTCTCCATGCAAGACGCGCAGCTCTTGGACGAGATTCGCAACATCACATCCCCGAGCAACCGCCGAAGGGTCCTCGAGTTCGTCAAGAGGTGCTGCTGTTCCTGTGCACGGGCGACGCAGGACTGATGGTCCCTGCAGTCTGCAGGAAGAACCGGCTGAGAGCCTCGCTGACAGCACGTCGGAGGCTTCTGATTCCAGCTGGAGGAGCATAGAGCCCGACCTGTCGGAAGGGGGAGACCTCGCCAAAGTTCATCCTGCTCCCTTGGAGGAAACGGCCCCGCTGTCCCACAAGCCCGTTGGCTCGTCAGCATCCAAGAGGGCGAACCAGGAGAGGCAAAGCTGCAGGGTCGACTCCTCCGACTCTTCCTCGACCCAGGACGTTCGAAGTTCTCCAGCAGCGGCAGGAAAGAATTACTTTGTCCGCCACCTGGAGAACGAGCTAGAGTCGCCCAACAAGATGCCGGAGGAGTCTCGTGCCCCGGTCTACGTCGAGAGTGACGACGATCTGTCAGGTCAAGAGGTCGAAACTCGAGCTGCGAATGTGCCGGACCTTTTGACAAGCAACTTGATCTTCGCGGGGTACGACTATGCTGAGAGCGTGTCGAGCAGCCACCACGAGTCGAACGAAGATGCTGAGGTGGGGTCTGAGCTGGAGCTGGAGGTGGACACCATCGATGTGTCGGGGGTCAAGCTGCGGCTGATGCAGCAGCAGGACAGAGTCGATGCGGCGTACAGTCACAGCCATCTGGACGTGGCGTCACTTGTGGAGCGACGGCTCGTGGAGAATGGCTGCGCGGTGGACGAGCACATCAAGGCCATGCTGCTGAAGGCTGCGAAGAACTCGAAGGCGCAGGATGTGCACGGAGAGCAGGAGCAGGGGGACGAGGGTGCAGCAGAGCAGCAGCGCGAGAAGATCTATCGTGAGGTCGTTCAGCATGTCTCGCGGGGGTTCGACGCGCAGATCCGCGACTTGGAGGACGCAGCACCCGACCAGCTAAGGGACGAGCTCATAGCTCGTCTGCAGGAGAGGAAGAACACAGAGATCAAGAGATTATCAGAGGAGCGAGCGAACTTGACTCGCGAGAAGAAGGTTCAGAGCATGCACAGCGATTCGGAGGTGCCTCCTCCTCCTCCACCACCACCACCTCCACCCCAACAAACAACACCTCCCCCTCCCCTCCTGCCCCTCTTCCTCTCTCTCCTCCTCTTGCCTCGATCGCTTCTCAACCTCTTATTGCTCTCTTTCCGCTTAAGGTTTGACTGCCCCTACCAGAGCTCAGATATCTACGAGTCGCATGACACCAAGAAGATGGCGGAGGACGCTCCGTCCTCTTCGGCAGAGTGCGACAGTGAGAGGACGTCGAGTGCGGGGGCCTCCGCTCAATCCTGGATGGAGGAGAAGGGTGAGAGCAAGCAGATGCTTCTCAGTGATGGTCGGGCTGACGTAGAGGACGAGCAGGAGGGAGAGAAGGAAGTACCGAGGGGAAGGAAGGAGCCGATGGGTTCACAGATGTCAAGGTGAAAGACCTCTCCCACAAGATAGAGTTCGGCAAGGAAGGGATGCGGGTCCCTGCTGGCATGCGGTCAGCGATGGAGCGCAAGTTCGAGGAGGAGCAGGTGAGAGGCAGGGAGGTGAGGGGCGCGGGGATCACTGGGACCTGCCAGGAAGGGGCTGGCGTAAAGGGGAGGAGCGAAGACTTTGTAGGGGAGCCGGATGTGAGCAGGTCGACCTGTAGGGGCCGTGAGCTTACAAGGGGGGCAGGTGGATCCGAACAGGTTCGACTTCGAGGTCAGGTGGGACGCGCTTCCTCCTGAGACGAAGGCAAGTGCGTGCTGCCTTGCTTCTCGTCCTTACCTGCGGGACCTGCAGGCTCGTCTCGAGGAGCTTCGCGCCCTCCAGGAGGAGCTGCTGGCATCCGTTGGGATCTCAGCGGCGGTACAGACCATCCTGGTGAACAGCAGGGGAGAGACGAAGCGCAAGGAAGGGGAGGCCTCCACTACAGTCTCCTACTGCGGGAGTAGCGGGTCAGAGACCGATGGGGAGTGGTGACGCGGGCGAGACTGACGATGCGAGGGAGCAAGTAGGGAGGCAGCAGGACGAAGGGAAAGGAGGAGGTGAAACAGTCAGTGTGCATGTAGCAAGCTTGTACTTTAAAGGTCTTAACAAGACGCGTCAGCCCTCTTGCTGGTGTGAGCTAGTGGCGCCCTGAGCCTTGAGCTGCTGGGGCGGTCAACCTCTAGTGGTGGAAGAGGCGCATGCCGTGATGGCACTGCACCATCCCGTACTGATCGCAGGCCTCCGTCACTCCCTCGTCCTGCACTGAACCTCCAGGCTGCGCCACATACTTGACGCCGTACTTGATGCAAGTGTCGATGCTGTCGCGGAAGGGGAAGAAGGCGTCGGATGAGATCACCACTCCGTCAAGCTTCTTCATGTGCTCCTCGAAGTCAGCTGGGGTCAGCGGCTCTGGCACGGTAGTGAACTGCTGGGCCCAGGTCTCGCGCTCGATGTCGGTCATCTCTGCCATGCCTTCGATGTACCTGACGCGCGCGTTCACGCGGGCCTGACGCTTCACGTCCGGCTTGAACTGAAGGCCGAGCACCTTGGGATGCTGCCGCATCCACCAGGTCGTGACCTTCCTCCCCGCAAGCTTCACGCAGTCGACGCGACTCTGCTGTCCAGCTCCAACGCCGATCATCATGCCGTTGATAGCATAGCCAACGGAGTTGGACTGTGTGTACTTGATGGCGACAGTGGCGAGAACCTGATCTCGGACGGCTCCTTCAGGAAGGTCCTTGTTCTTGGTCGAGATGTTCTTCTTCATCATGTCCGGCGTGATGAGCTTGTCTCCGTGTCCTCTCTGAGCGAACACGCAGCCGTTGATCTCGCGGAAGTCGATCTCTCCAGCAGGGTTCTTAAAGTTGGGATCGGCCTCGAGCACGATGAAGCTGCCCGTCTTCTTCTGAGAGAGGATGGCGAGGGCCTCGGGAGTGTAACCGGGGGCGATGATGCCGTCCGAGACTTCCGTCTTGAGGTAGTTCGCCGTCTGCTCGTCCACAACGTCCGACAGAGCCGCCCAGTCGCCGAAGGAGCACATGGGGTCAGCGTTGCGAGCACGGAGGTAGGCGAGCGCAGCAGGAGAGAGATTGTCCGGAGCCTCGTATGCCTGCTTCTCCACGTCGGAGAGGGGCACGGCGACAGCAGCTCCTGCAGGGGAGACGTGCTTGAAGGAGGCAGCAGCTGGGAGGCCGAGGGCCTCGCGCGCTTCCTTGACCAGAGCCCAGGAGTTGAGGGCATCGAGGAGGTTGATGTATCCCGGCTTGCCGTTGAGGACCTTGAAGGGAAGAGCTCCGCCCGACATGCTGTAGATGTTGGCGGGGAGTTGATGGGGGTTGCATCCGTACTTCAGGGGGAAGGCGAGGTCGTACGCCCTCGTCACCACAGCAGGAGTCTCCTGGTTCTGCCCAGCACATCCTTGTCAGCATCCCCTCTCGCACACCCAGCAGAACTGACCTGCTCCGCAAACCAAGTGGAGATAGCTGCGTCGTAGGCTGCCGTGTGAGCATACGCGGCAGCAGCGAGGCTCCTCCTGGTCTTGAGAGTGGTACAGCCGTCATGCTGCTTCATCTCTTCGATCACCTGCGCTCATGTCAGCTGCGCGTTACGAGCCACGAGGACGAGCTGCTTGCCTTGGCGTACTGGGTGACTGAGGTGATGACGGTGACACTGGGATGGTTCTTGGAGGCCGCGCGGATCATGGCGGGTCCACCGATGTCAACGTTCTCGATGCAGGTATCGAAGTCTGCTCCCTTGGCCACAGTGGCTTGAAAGGGATACAGATTGACCACGAGCATGTCGATATACTCGATCCCGTGCTCCTTGCAAGCCTTCTCGTGCTCAGGGTTGTTCCTGATCGACAGCAGCGCCCCGTGGACCTTCGCCATCGTCTCTCACTCGCGCGTCCCTCACGGCCAGCGACTCACCTTGGGATGAAGGGTCTTGACACGGCCATCCATCATCTCAGGGAAGCCTGCAGAGTAGTTTAAAAGAACGGAGGCATGAGGAGACGAGGAGCGGTACCAGTGTAGTCCGACACGTCAGTCACCGGAAGCCCGGCCTCCTTGAGAGCCTTGGCCGTTCCTCCTGTGGAAAGAACCTCCACCGACTGTCAGCCCGTAGTCATGCAGAGTATGTGTCACCTGCACTCCAGCATCCTTGAGCGCAGCAGCGAGCACGAGCAAGTCTGTCTTGTCGGAGACTGAGATGAGTGCTTTCTTGATTTTGACCAGATCTGAGGGGGAGGAGGAGCAACTTCAGTTACACACCGATGCTCCGTCAAGTGACCTGTTGACATCGTAGATTTGAAACGAATTGCAGCAAGCGCTCTTGCACGCGTGAAAGGTTTGAGGCGGAGGCTGAAGTGTCGCGCTAACGTGATCGGCCTGGCTAAGAAGATTCACAGTCAGCAAGGAGGAGGCGAGGGACTTTAAAGCCCGTCAAGGCATTCGGTCACTTCAACCATCTACATCTGCATGTCTCACGGCAACACAAACTTCGTGGTGATAGCGGCAGCGAGGGCCCAGCACGGCCCAAGCTGTCATGTGCCAAGGAGGTGTAAAAACAGGGCACAGTGACTAGCAAGATGGAACGGGGCGGACATGACAAGAAAGCAGAGAAAGGTACGAGCCAATCAGGTCAAACAAGCAAGTGAGTACTGCCGCAAGCAACGACGTTGTAGTGCATGGGATGTGCGGATGGTTTTGCAGGAAGGTGATAAGGACTGAAGAGTGGGCAAGGAAACAGGAAGGCAAGCAGGAAGCGCTTTGAGACATTGCAACAGAGAAAAAGATAGACGCAGAGGCCATAGGAAATAAGGGTCAATAAGTCGGCGAGGAAGGTAATGAAAAGTTGAGGCCGGTGAAGGATGAAGGGGGCGCAAGTCCATTTGCAGGAGGAAAGGGGCGCAAGTCTGAGGGGAAACCCAGGATAAGCCAAGATGAAGCGGCAAAGGATGAAGACGGAAGGGAAAGGAGGGAGAGGAGGAGAATGAATACGTAGAATTTCCGGGAGGAAAATTGGTAGAGGGCACAGGGATAAAGGCAGGGAGACCAAGTCTTTGGGAGCTGGTGGGTTGGGCGGAGAGAGAGGACGCGGAGGGGGTTCACTTCACGTGCGATCGAGGGTGGGGGTGGTCCCACTTTGTTGTAAATCATCCCCCGATTCTGTGGGAGAATGGGGGGGTTCAAATTGTATGGGGTGGGGGTGGTGGGAGTTGTAGGAATCTTTTCGTGGGTAGGGGTGATCCGATGGGTTGGGGTGGTTCTCCACTTGTTGCAATTTCTGCTCAGGGGTAGGGTACAATTGGAGGGGTTGTATTGGAAACTGAGATGGATATCATAGGGGGTGGTATTCTACAGCACGCCAATACGGGTGTCAATACCGGAGAAAGAAGGGGTATAAGTTTGTCAGATAGGACTTTGAGGGGGTATCAATGAAGTAGGTACCATAATAAGGGGGTGGGGTTAATTTTTGTGAAGTGATGGGCAACGAGGGTAGATCCACCCCCTTGTCTTTGTTTTTGGTAGCCCTCGTCCCCCCACCGACCCCGGCTCCGCAGGCCCGGGCGGATTCCGCCGGGCTCCGAGGCTCAGCCGGTGAGTCCGATCCGATCAGACTCTGAGAGGGGCCCGGCGACCCGGGCCCTAGTACCCAGTGACCGTCTTAGAAGTCTCAGTCTCCCGGAGCCTCGGCCGTGAGAGCCTCACTGAGACCGTGACTCAGCCTGAGGAAACTGCCAGGCTGAGGGCAAACTCGGATAGTCAGAACAGATTACTGGAGCAACTTGATTCCGCTGCGCGAGTGTAGGAGGAGGAGGCCAGGCTGAGACGCACTACTGCGGCAGCCTGGCAGCCGCGAGGAGCTGAGGCTGCGGGACATGGAGCGGCGCCTGGAGCTCGGAGAGGATCGTCTGCGCGTTTGTGCGCCATCGAGCAAGCAGGACCCCCGTGAGCAACGCGCAGGAGGAGATGGCGAGACGAGAGCCGCTGGGAGTCCCGCATGAGCACCCGGAGTCGTCAGCCAGTGCTACAGCATGGGCGTGGATCTTGCTCGCCTTGAGATGCAGCAGGGAGCTTGCGTCCGCTGCACGAGGTGATGCTGTCTGGTCGCTCAGAGGAGGAGGAGCGTGAGGCAGCGCAGGGAGGCGAGAGCTGGACGAGGGAGAGGCTGAGCGACATCGACTAGGCGAGGATCGCGCGAGTGTGGCTGGACGTGCAACAAGACTTCATGCTCGGAGAGTGAGCGATCGAGTGAGCGAGACTGAGGCGGAGGCTTGCGGAGACTCTTGTGGAGGAGACAGAGGAGGTTGGGGAGGGATGGGTTGCGTGTGTGTTTGTGTGTGTGTTTGTGTGTTTTCTTGTGCGCTAGCCAGCACCGCGCGCGCCAGTATGCGGGAGTAGAGATTGCACGTGAGGAGTTTAAAGTCGCTAGAGCAACTATAAAGAGATCTCAACACGGTCAGCCCTCAAGCCTCTGATTGCCCCACTGGTAGAAATCTTCCTGTCTCCCCCCTCCCCCCTCCCCTTTGGTGTCCTCTCCTCCCCTTTGGTCCCCCCTCCTCTCCCTCTCCCCTCTCCTCCACTTTTAGTCGCCTCCCCTCTCCCCTCTCCCATTTAGTTCCCTCTCCTCCCCTGGTTTGTTCTGCCCTTCCCTGTCTACACTTACCTTTCCTCTCGTCCTGAGACTACAGCGTTCCTATCCTGACCCTCACACTTGGTCTGAATGCACTGCCCCTCCCCTTGTCTCTCCTTGACTTCTTCCCTTCCGGTCTCCCTCCTCTCCTCTCAATCCTCCCCTCCCCTCTCCTCCCCTCCCCTCCCCTCCCCTCCCTCCCCTTCTCACCTCATCGTTCTCCCCCTCCATGTCGCTCCAGCATTGCTGCCCTCCCCGCACCTTTTTTGCAATTATCCTCAATTCGCTGCCCCTGCACCTCGTTTTACCCTGTCGCATCAGCACAAATGCCGGCAACGGGGCGCAGGGCGCTAGGAGGGCAGGGGAGAGGAGAGGGGATGGTACAGCAAGAAGGTGCAGCAGGTAGAGCAGCAGGCGGTTGGAGGGGGAGAGGAATGCAGGGATGGGCGAGACGGAGGCAGAGGAGAGGGTTGATGTCGAGCGAGCAACCGCAGCTGCAACTCAGACAAGGGAGTGCGGGAGCGGAGATTAGACGAGCAGCACGACGCGCAGGTGTCGCAGGAGGACGAGATCAGGAGTTCATGGTGTGAAGTTGGAGGCGGGGGGGTTGGGGGGGTTGGATATGAAGAACCGTCCTGCGTTTGTGTCGGTGTGCATGGGGCCTCGAAACTCTGTGCCTTCGGAAGCCTGACCTTGCCTTGTCGCCAGGGCCACCATGGCGGAGAAGAAGGCGCTCAAGGAGAAGTTTCGCAGGGACTACACTCCTACCAACTACTTCGTGGAGCAGGTGAACCTGCTGTTCCAAGTCTTCGAGGACTGCACCAAGGTATCCTCCTCCCTCAAGGTCAAGAGGCGCGACGGAGCTCCGGAGAACGCCCCGTTCCAGCTGGATGGGGAGGGCCTGACCCTGCAGAGCCTGTCCATCGATGGAGAGACTCTCCCGCCCTCTCGGTACTCGTGGGTGGAGGAGGACTTGCTCGAGATCTCTGGCCCCCTCCCTTCAAGCTTCGTGCTCCAGTCGCTGGTCACCACCAAACCCGAGGAGAACACGCAGCTGAGTGGGCTGTACAAGTCTTCCTCCATCTACTGCACGCAGTGTGAGGCAGAGGGCTTCCGGCGCATCACCCTCATGCAGGACAGGCCGGACATCATGGCGACGTATGAGGTGAGGATCGAGGCGGACAAGGAGAGCTGCCCCGTCCTGCTCTCCAACGGCAACATGACTGAGAATGGTGACCTTGAGAACGGGAGGCACTTTGCCACTTACAACGATCCGTTCCCGAAACCTTCATGTAAGCTCAATTGTCGTAGGCTCTCTTCTTGGAGGCTGACTTCTTCTCTTCTTTCCTTCCTCCTTTCTTGCAGACCTGTTTGCGATGGTGGCGGGAGACCTCGGCTTCATCCGGGACACGTTTGTAACAAGATCCGAGAAGGTCGTGGCCTTGAACATGTACTCAGAGCACAACAACGTCAAGAAGCTCTATCATGCCATGGACTCTTTGAAGAAGGCCATGAGATGGGATGAAGAGACTTTTGGGCTGGAGTATGACCTGGATATCTTCAACGTGGTCGCCGTCAACGACTTCAACATGGGCGCGATGGAGAACAAGTCTCTGAACATCTTCAACACTAGCTGCGTCCTAGCAAGCCCCGAGACCGCCACCGATGCGGATTATGAGAGGATCCAAGGGATCATTGCGCACGAGTATTTCCACAACTGGACCGGCAACCGAGTGACATGCAGAGACTGGTTCCAACTCACCCTGAAGGAAGGTCTCACCGTGTTCAGGGACCAGCAGTTCAGCATGGACATGACGTCAGCGGCTGTCAAACGCATCGAAGACGTGAACGTTGTGCGCTCGATGCAGTTCCCTGAGGACAACGGCCCGATGGCCCATCCGATCCGGCCTGAGAGCTACATCGCCATGGATAACTTCTACACTGTCACCGTCTACCGGAAGGGAGCAGAGGTCATCCGGATGTACCACACTCTGCTCGGCAAGGAAGGATTCCGAAAGGGCATGGACCTTTACTTCCAACGCCATGACGGTTCCGCCGTCACTTGTGATGACTTCCGCCGAGCGATGGCTGACGCCAATGGCGTCGATCTGACTCAGTTCGAGCGCTGGTACCTGCAGGCTGGTACTCCAGTGGTCCGCTGCGAGGCCAAGTATGACGTGGAAGCGAAGCGATTGTCGCTGCTTCTCAAGCAGTCTTGCCGCACGCCGCAGGGAGGCGATGCTTTACCTTTCCACATGCCCATCCGCGTTGGATTCCTGGCGCAGGACGGGTCCGAACTTTTGCCTGAAAGAGTGCTGGAGCTGAAGGAGGCCAGTCAGGAGTTTGTGATCGAGAACGTGAACTCGAAGCCCGTCCTGTCTCTCTTGCGGGGCTTCAGCGCTCCCATCAAACTTGAGTACGAGCGAGACGATGAGGAGTTGGCGTTCCTGATGGCACATGACAAGGACAGCTTCAATCGCTGGGAAGCAGGTCAGCTCATGTTCAGCAGAACAATTCATGCGAACGCCAAGGCCATGCAGGCTGGGCAAGCCATGCAGCTCAACGCTAAACTTGTCGACGCCGTTCGGAGAACCCTTCTGGACACTTCCCTCGACAAGTCGCTGCAAGCTTACGCCCTGACCTTGCCGAACCTGCAGAACCTGGCGGAGAGCATGGAGATCGTGGACCCCGACGCACTGGTAGACGCCTACAAGTTTACCAAGAAGGAGATCGCCAGAAGCCTCCGTGATCATCTCCTCAAGACCTACGAGGCGAACTTGTTGCCGGAAGATTCCTTCCGGAATGACGCAGAGGCAATCGGAATGAGGAGGCTTAAGAACGTCTGTCTGGGCTACCTCGCAGCTCTCGGAGACAAGGAAGTGCTTGACGTGTGTCTGAAGCAAGCCCTCACAGCTAACTGCATGACCGACCTCGTTGCTGCTGCCAGCTGCCTCGCCGCTAATCCTGGCGAGCAAAGCGACAAGGCGCTGGAGCACTTTTACCAGCAACACGCCAAGGACGACAACCTTGTGTTCTGCAAGTGGATTGCCATCCAGGCCGCGGCCTGTACAGATCAAGCTCTCGAGATTGTGGACAAGCTGTTCAAGCATCCCTCCTTCACCATCAAGAATCCCAACATCTGCCGTTCGCTCTTCATCAGCTTTGCCGGCAACATGAAACACTTCCATCGGGCAGACGGCAGCGGACACCGTTGGCTGACTGATCGCATCCTCGAGCTCGACAAGCTCAACCCGCAGACAGCCGCCAAGATCCTGACCAAGTTGGCAGGCTACAAGAGATTTGACGCTCCTCGCCAGGCGTCTATGAAGGCCCAGCTGGAGCGCGTGCGCAACACTGAAGGTGTGAGCAAGGATACCATGGAGATCGCGATCCGTGCGTTAGCATAGAGAGACTCTAGATGGAAGAGAACGAGCTTGCAATGGTTCGGCTTTTCACTTCACGCCGTGAACAAACTCTATGAAATGCCTACTTGTATCTAGGAGAACATCTTGGGGTTGCACTTGGGAGTATAGTCGTTGTAGGGGAGGGAGCAGTCAATAGTCCCGTTGTTGTTGGCGAGCATCTGTGCAGAATGATCAGCCATCCAGGAGCCCTGAGCCTGTACACAAGGATTAGTTGAGACAGGGATGACAGCCTGAGCTGTCAAGGCCGTACAGGCTTGGAAGGAGTGGGCTTAGAATCCTTTGCTGCATTCCAGAGAAGTTCAAACATCTGCACAACTTTGTCAATCTCATGCCTCAGTCTCTTAGTATCACTCGGTCCATTCCAACTAAATCGTTCCATTCGATTTCATCCTCTGCCTGATAGCCTCTCTATCCTGACCCGCCTCCGGCATCCTTCGTTCTGCGGCTCTAAAAGGCCTCTTGAAGCTTGCAAGTTCCTCCTAACTTTCTCTCCTACTTGTACAAGTGTCTTGGGAGCTCCCACTCTCGTTCTTCATACAACTCTCATCATTGTCAGCCACGGCCGCCCGCAATGACAGTGATAGTATCGTACATTTCCTGCTCTTCTTTGACTAGCTGCCGGGCCAAAAATAGAATTGTAAAAACGGTTACATTTCCGTTTGAGCCCGGTTGACTGCAATGAAAGTTTTAAAATTGCTTTCGCCGGAAAATGCGTCCAATCGAAAGTGTGCAATTTCCGCCATGGCGAGCAACCATCATCTTCCTGCTTCCTCCAAGTTTCGACCGGGGGCTCTGACGAACAGCTTCGTCCGAGTCAAGTCGGGTGACAACCCACAGACTGAGTTTCCCGGCGCTCAGCCGGCCCTGCGTTCTTTTCCAAGTTCCAAGCGGACTGGCGGCAGCGGTGGCCGCGTTAACCATCTGCTCGGCAACAGAAAGCATGTTAGAGGATTGCTAATTTCTGATGAATTGCAATTGTCATCATCAGAAATTAGAAAAATCTGAGAGATGGGCACATTGGATTGTCCGTATGACGGAGCGTGAAAAAGCATAACGCAGGCGATGGGATCATTCAAGTTACGAAATCTTTGACAACTTGGGATCGGATGTGTGAAATTGCAGCTATGGTGTGAAGTCATTGTGCTTCCGAACAGGGCTGCAAGATACACACGATTATTTCAACACGCTCTGCGTCGCGTATCAACTTCCTGAACTTTTCTTTAATCCATTAAATTTACAAGAGGAGGAGCTATTTTACAGCATCAGATCAACAAATAATTTCCTATTCGAAGCGAAAGAATGGTTTCTGACATGGCAGCAACTTGCCATCCAAATTTCCGCCATCAAGTTCTTGCTGACGAGTTAAGTAACGTATAGACAATGCTAGGCTACAGAGAGCCTTCTTCTTTCCCATCGAGAAGGATTCAAATCTTTCGACGGTGATACCTAGTATATCGCAGATGTCGCACAAATCAGAATTCTCGTTGTTGTGCTGTCGTTCCGAGCATTCGTCCAAAATATTCTCAGGGAGCATCATACCCAGGGGTTCAGTCCTCACACTGTCCATACAAAGTCTCATTGTTGAGGCATTCAATTTGTGGAGTGGTTTTGTTCAAATCACAGCTGTCGATCCACAGGAAAGGGAGGATACTGTTAGGATGGAAGCCTTCCTGCGTGCCGTGGGAGATACTGACGGTCGAGACAGGGTGAGAGGCCAAGGGCAGCAAAGGGGTCAAAAGGAGGAACAGAGCAGGGGAGTATGATGGGAGGCACTCCCAAGGAGCCAAACCTACAAATATATAAATACCAAACATTGATGTTTTCAGACCATTTCCAGGCCCGGTAGATGGAAAAGAAGTCTTTTGAATTATCACGGGATCGTACACGTGACCATCTGTGCCCTGCAAAATGGAACGGTGTATTTTTTCGAGCCATTGAAGGAGTCAACGGTCACCCAGACAGCCTCGTGACTTGCCCTGTAAGGGTGTTGGTCACGATGCACCTGATCCCGAGAGCGCAGATAACGGTATTCAACCGATAAACTCGCAAGGAAGGTCACGAGGTGGGAGCGGAAGAAGGCTCTGGATTGAGCTTGTCAAGTCGAAGGACTCGTAAGGCCATGGAGCTCGCATGATGCTTTAAAGCGAATCTCGGGGCACGTCTCCGTTGACCTGTGTACCGGTCACGTTCCTGTGGTCATGAGGTATCGTGATGCTGGCAACACAACAGGGTCTGATCTCGGGGACCACGACTGTGAGAAGGCACGAGAACTTCCATGGAAAACTCCGACAGGCAGTAGTGCGCCGCTCAGTGACTAGCGTGACCGTCACCGACTCCAACTGAGACGACCGGGCCGGCGGGTCGCCGGGTCGGGCCCGGCTGAGCCCGGCAAGTGGGGGCCGGGGTGACTCATGATCCCTCGTCCCTCCTCAGACCCGTAGTTTTGTCACTGACTCCAACTGAGACGACCGCCGGGCCGGCGCCGGGGTCGCGCCAGGTCGGGCCCGGCTGAGCCCGGCAAGTATGAGCCCTCGTTCCTCCTCAGACCCACAGTTTTGTGCTGATGGCCCTGTGCTGATGGCCTGGCTGCAGGCCTGGCTGATGGACGGGAAGCTGGAGATGCTGAATGGGATGCTGCGTAAAAGGATGGAGGGGCGAGGAGGGAGGATAACGAGAAGGAATAAGGGAGAGGGAGAGAGAGAACAAGAGGCAGACAGACAGACAGAGGGTTGAAGGAAGGGTCAGGGTCACGGCTAGGGTCAGGGACAAGAGCCAAGTGGAGCATGCATTGTGGCGGAAGAGGGAAAGAGGGATGAGGACAGTTGGCAAGAGCCAGGAAGCGTTCAGTCGAAGCGTCAGAGGGATCAAATTTAAGTCGATTGACGGGTGCTGTGATCAGTGTCTAAAGATACAAAACAACATGCGGCAACGTGCTGGAGTGGAGCTTTCAAATATGTAACTTGGCTGTCTGGTTGTACAAATGCTCGTGATTCGTGCTGTTTTCAGAAAGGATAAGAGTGAAAAGAAGCATGTCGACGATAACTTGCAAAGGAAACGCCATTCTGGCATGTTGTTTCCGCTACTTGATGGTAGGATCGTTACCTTGAACCTGACTCTTTGCGTGACGATTTGGACAGTGAGGAACCGAACTCTTTTCATGGGCTTCGTGCTAGTGCTGTTCATGGTTCTCTTCGTGGTAAGCTCTGAGCTCTGGCTCCAAGTGCGATGATGGTTGTCGTCCCCCAGATATCCTACCTCATGCCGGACGGGGAGGAGCCCAGGGAACTCAAACCAGGTCGACCTGTTTGGTCCCGAGCATCTTGAGTTGACGCCAGAGGATGCAAGCAGACCATGAAGTCGGGATCTCGAGAGAAGTGGCGCTGAAGGCCAAGGCCAAGGGTCACATGAGTCAGTACAAGGTAGGGCCTCCGAACCAACTTCACGAGCAGAGCAGTCCTCAGATCCACAAGTATCGCCCGTCGGAGCTCTACCAGAGGCCCTCGCTCCCCCATGACCTCGGCAGCTACCACGACCGGTCATACCCGGGCAAGAGGTCATTCTTGACATTGTTGTGGGGGAAAGGGAGGAGTGATCTGACTGATCTTGCAGCATCCGAGCCGAAGATCCTGTGGTGCAGAATCAATTGAGGTACAACCCAAGAGAGGAGGGTGGTCACCATCACAGCCAAGGGCACCAGCATGGCGCAGAGTTGCCGAATCATCATTTCCAATACAGTCCTAGCGAGCACAGTAGACATCACTACAACCACGAATACAGGAGGGAAGCAGAGCCGCAGGATCAATTGAAATACAGTCCTAGCGAAGACAGTGGTAACCGGTACAGCCGCGATCACCGGCATCAGGAAGAGCCACATACTTCGGTGATGCCCTTCTTTGTTAGGAAAATCTGGCTGAAGCTTCTTGTACAGGATCATGCTGAAAATATCCTTCACTACAAGCCGAGGTCTTCTTCGAACTCTGGTATGAATGCTTACCCAACGCGATGATGAAGTGGGTATTGACGAGAAGGACGAATGAAGGATCATCATCATCATCATCATCATCAAGCAAGTCTGAGAACATGAACTTGTTGAATCAAATCTCGGATGTATTGCTAAGCATTTTTGATTGTTCACTCATCTGCGCTCTAGACAACTGGACAATCTCAAAACTGCAAAGATGACACCAAATGGGCTGACTTTCATGGGATGGGTTGTGAAGCATACAGCCACCATAGATTGTGGTGTACGTTTTCCATATTGTATCCTGATCACAACGGTGTGGATGCCTCCACTGCATGCTGTGCATGCGGAGGAGGGTCGTCGTCTCAAGTCGAGAATGAAGGTAATACGCTCAAAGAGGACTTTCGATCTAACGTCGAGCAGGACAACCTCTGATTGTCCCGCCTCCCATCGACGAGAAAACAATTATAAGCTCGAGCTTGCAGAGTAGACACAAGTCGATGCCATCCGGACAGGACGATTCAGAAGAGGATGTTAGAAACGCACACCACGAACGCCCAAGACTAAATCTTTTGCAGGAGAGCACAAGATTCGTGGATCACGTCGACGATGATGCCGTCCCTGATTCTGTGAGCGATGTCGCAACTGATGTTCCGGTGCTAACAGACCTTGTAGGATGTGCTAGAGGATATGGCAGATGCCATGTTCGAGGACATGGACGTTGCTCCAACGGACAATCAGGTCTATCGTCTAGAGCTGATTCACTTTCGACTGAGGCTGCTCTGGTGGACAAGATCTCATGGTCGGAGTGGTGGGCTGCAGTGCATCGAGATTTCCCAGATGCGAACAAAGAAGATGGTGGAGAGATCTCTGAGTTATGTTGAATGTTGTCTGACGAGCGCTGGGCTCCCAGAGCATGAGAAGTTCAAGTTGATGGACAAGGATCATTCATCGACCATCGACAGGTCGCGGCTCCTCCCTCTCAGGGACTGGCCTGCTCTGAAAGCTACCGCAGGAGTGAATTGAGGCTGGATTGGTTAAGAGACGACATCCAGTGAGCACTGGGACCTGTCTGGCTGTGGCAGGTCATTTTGCCCGGCAGGTTTCTTGACTATGCGGCGTTACACGATCACCATCGTCGTCGCAAAAGCCACAAGAAGACGTCAACCAGCGTCCATAGCAATCTTCAAGAAGCGCAACCGAAGAAGGCAGAGGGATGAGGGCGTGTTGGGGTCGCTTACTCCTTGTTGTAGGCTGAGATCGCGAGAGATCAGAATGAGCCGAAGGTGGAGGACAAGACCCTCGGGCAGACGCTGAAGGACATTGCATGGAAGCTGTAGCTACCATGGAGGCCAAGTTTCTCCCTTCTCACACCTGACTCGTAGGTTCAAGGAGCGAGCACCGAAGCCTCACAGTTTGAGCATCAAGATGTATCAGTCGCCATCTGCAACATGGTCGCAGGTAATTGACTTCTAAGCGGAACTCCTTGTGTCCTCAGGCGCTGGCAGGCTGACCGGCAGTGCAAGAGATACCGCAAGTCGCTGTATGCTCCTCCCACCCCCCCTGCCTCTGCCTTGCTCCTACCTTTCATGAGTCTTCCTCCTCGTTGCCCTCCCTCTCTTCCCCCCTTCCTTCCTCACTTTCTCGTGCTCGCCCTCTTGTCACAGGTGCCCGACCTCCGTGCTGGAGAAGCTGCAATTGTGCAACGACAAGGATCCTCACCACGGCAACAAGTAAGATTCTGATTCATGTGAGAGTTTGTGGTACAACAAGACTGACATGACTTCGTTCTGCAGGTGGGTTCCCACCAACGAGCTCGGCATGTGGATAGATCTCCACACCTGCTCCCTGCGCAACATTGCAAAGGACATGCGTCTCGATTCGCTCATCGCCTGCTGCTAATCTGACTTCACCATCGAGACAGCGGGCTAGAGTCCAGCAGGCCCTCCTGCTTCGACTTGGGGATGGCTGTGGCTGGGCGATCAGACTGCATGGAGACGTTTTTCTTCCTCATCTTGCTCTCGGAGTAGCTCATGTTCCTCGGACTCCGCACGTCCATGGCCGCTCGGTTGGGAGTCTCGCTCGCTCTCCTCGGGCTGCTCTCAGGCCCATGGTAGTACCGCCCGTCGCTCCCCTCCATCAGGACCGGCTCCCTCCCGCTGCCCGGAGGAGGGCCAGGGCGCATGCTGACTGAAGTTTTCTCGCATGAGAGGCATTGAGTGGTCACCGCGGCCACGTTGGCGTCCTGGACCATGAGGGCAAGGATGGCGTCTACGTCGTCTCGGATTTCTTGGACAATCTTTCCCCGAGAGCGAAGTTTTTCCTCAATCGACTGTGTGAAGTTTGACAGCAGGTCGTCGAGCTCGTAACGATCCAGCTTCATCTTGATCTCGGTGAGATCGGCCTTTCCTCGCAGCCTGTCTTCTATCACCGCCTCGAACTCCTTCACTGAGGCTGCTACCCTCTTTGACTCGCTCTCCCACTCCTCCTTCAATACATTCAGCTCTTTGTAGCCTACCCGCTCATGTACGAGCACTTGCTGCTGATGCAGCTCCTCTTGCAATGTGTTGATGCTCCTGACGGTGTAAGAATTGAACGCTAAGTACTCCCGCTCCACCTTGTCAACTTTGTCCTCGAGCTCCTTGATATTCTGCAAATCCTTCCCATTCTGCTGCTTCACGTTATCCATCATAGCCTTGACTTTCTCCGTTTCTTTGTTCTTGGCCTCGATGAACTCCTCGAAAGAATCCTGTCTCTGCTTGATCTGATTCAGGCTGTTGACGAGCTCGCCGATGTGAAGTTTGATGGACGTCAGGTCCCCCAGTTCTTTCTTCAAGGCGTCGTTTTCGCGTTTAAGAGAAGCAATCTGCATCTGTGACTCCTCAAACTTTTTCACCATAGACTTCTGCTCTGACTGCAGCTGCTTCACGATCACCTGTACCATGATTACGTCATGGTCGCAAAGACAAGGGTGCTGAAAAATAGCTTCAGAGGAACGAGTTGAGGGAATGCGAGGTTTGTAAGGTTGTCACATGTTCGAACTCAACACAAGAACATCTCTGGACTTACCATCACGCTCTCTATCTCATCTCCTTTGGCGATCTTGAGCCTGATCCCGCCATCTCCGTCGCTCTCTGCGACAAGTCCAACTGCCATCTCGCTTGTTGACTAGCGAGATCACCCCTACCCCCTCAATTTCAATGTCACCCCCTTCAAGATAGTCACCCCTTCTTCATCATGCTATCACCCCTGTGCTTTACTATCATATAGATGATATGCATCCTACCCACCCTTGTCTGCAAATACACCACCCCCCATGAGATACCCACCCCCTAACGGCATAGAGGCGAAAGAGCGGCCCATGGAGTTCGGAAGCGTGCCGGACATGAAGGAGCAGGGGAGGAGAAGGCAAAGAATGAAAGAGAGGAGGATGAGAGGGAGAGGGCGATGGATATGGATCAGGATGTTTATGTTCATGTTCATCTTCATCTTCATGTTCATCTTCATCTTCATGTTCATGTTCATAATGGTGATGTTGATGATGATGAGGAGGAGGAAGATTGTGGATGAGAAGCATGATGTGTTGCGCAGAAGAACAGATCAAGGGAGTTGAATGAAGAATTGAAGAGAGAGGAAAAGGAATTGAAACAACGACTCGATGCTCGAGAGTTTCTGTATTGTTGACCTCCTTTCAGGTGTGGCTACACGAGGAGACAGCAGGAAAGCTGGAGGGGCAAAGGAAGTCCACCGGAGAGCTGGACGTAGCGTCCAGTTCGACTCAGATCCTGCATCTGATCCCGTATCAATGAGCCTGCAGTAGACGATGATACAACCAGCATAGTGATGTGATGGACTCTGCTCGAGATATAACCTCTAGTTGCCTTGTTCCGATCGCCTTGCTCCACCATGATCGCTGGGAAGAATCCCAAGGGCAGGAACACTTCAACAGCTGTAAGAGACGCTGGCAACAAGCCATGGAAGCAAAACACCAAAGGAGCATCCGTCCCAGGATGCGCCGCTGTCAGATCAGCTCGGAGGGATCAGCATGCGGGGGCTGAACAGTCTCAGGTCAGCTCTCCAAGGGCCCCCCCGCAGGCAGTGAGATCCAAAGCTGCTGAAGCCGATCCCTCCGAGTCGGCGCTACCGCCCAGGTGCAGCCACGAGGGCTGGATGAGCCCAGGGCGGCCGACTAGGAGATCGACTCCCCGGCCCTTCTCCGCTGGGAGCCGGAGGTTGATCTCAGAAGCTTTCTTGAGATCGCACGGCATCCTGCAGGACGAGCCTCCGGAGGAGGAGCCCCCAACCCAGGAGCTGGACCAGCATGCTGATCCGAACAAGTTCAAGGGGATGTATGACGCACATGGTAACTTTCTAATGGTACACTCGCCCCCTGCTGCCAAGAGCAGGAGGCCGCTGGCAAGACAAGGGTTAGTCACTCTCCCCTTGAGGCAGGAGGAAATGCAAGTGCTCGGGGAGCCACCAAGGCAGCGTCGGCCGTTGAGCGCCAACAGACTGCAAGAATGGGCTCGCAAGAAAGACAATGCAGGCGATCAGCAAGCAGGTCCAGTAGGCGATCAAGAGCACGGGTCTCGATCTTCGCGTCCCAGCTCAAGGTGTGCTCCGACTCCCTGGTACTCCCTGGCCTCCGAGTCAGACGAGGAGATGCAACAGGTTGGGGTTTGATGTCACTGATCCTCTCGTTTGAATCTTTGTTGTTTTGCAGACGCTTCTCGAGGACGCGAGGTCGAGCGTTCGAGCTGCTGAGACAGCCGCTGCTACAGCAGCGCAGGAAGCGCAAAGTTGTGTCGACAACCAGCTAGCGGAGGAGCTGCAGGCAAGGCTCTACATGATGATCGAAGGACCAGCACCACTGGGCGTCGGGGACCCTTGGGATGTGCCCCAGAGCCTTCACTCAAGATCGAGTTCTTTCTTACATCGGGATCCTCCAAGGTCCTCTCAGGGACGAGAGGCTGACCGGCATGCAGAGACTGGTGAATCTTCTGAGAGGGGAGACCATGACCGAGTCTCCGAGGCACTGAGGAGCTTCCGAGTCACGACAGACGTGCAGTCTCCTCTCTTCCCTCCAGGATGGGCCGTCCGGCAGACTCACGGGAGGTGAATGCTGTACCTTCAACTTTTCCTCTGTTGGCTGACGAACAGAAGTGGGAGGTGGAAGACATGTCTTACGAACGTCTGTTAGAGCTTGACAACTCAGTCAAGGTGGCGGCCGACGGTGTGCTCACGTTCCTCTCACAGCTGTGGCAGAAACTTGGGCTCAAGGCTCACCAGCTGGAGAGGCTGAGCAACATAGCAAAGCGACTGAGAGACTTGGAGGGGAGGAAGGAGGTGAATCGGATCGAGACTAGCAGCATGCGTCCACTGACTGTTGAGATCGCTCTAGGGAGACTGCTGCATCTGCCTTGAGAAGGTGGAGGCCAACCTGGAGGGTTGGCAGCTACCCTGCCGGCATTTCTTTCATGAAGGCTGCATCAGGCCATGGCTCCGAACGAACACGTGCTGTCCTTTCTGTCGAGCATGCTTGACAAGGATCTGAATTTTGAGAATGGACTGTACTCGACCAGTCTCATAGTTGATAGTAGGTGACGGTCTTTCTTGCAAGTTGGTGTCTTGCTGTCAGACTGTTGGAAGACACGCTCGATGACTGTTTCATGACATCTCGTGGAGATTTCCCTCGTGTGGTTAGTAAAGGTTCTGAATGCCCAAAGAATTTCTCAGTCTTATCGCCCACCGTCAATCACGACGAATTTTTTTAGAGGAAGTTTTACACCGGCCGATCCTCGCTGGAATGACTCTTTTTTTCTCTTTTTTTCCGGTTCGCCGCTAGGTAGGAGACGTCAAAATGCAGATTTTCCTGAGTTTGTGAGGAGACTGAGAAGAGGAGAGGAAGAGGAGAGGAAGAGGAACAACGTGAGAGATCAGGCAAGAGCAGAGGAAACAGAACAACGATACAGAGGAGGGAAGTTGAACAAAGGAGGAAGAGGAAGGGAGAGGACTAGGAAGAGGAATTAACGACGAGACGCGACGATGGAGCCTCTTTCAATTCCGCTGGAGAAACCCAAGAAGCAGGGAGATGTGTACAAGTTCAGCAATGGCGCGAGCTATCGCGGCTCCATACGCAACGGCAAGATGCATGGTGACAGCACGGGCTGCTCAAGTGGGGTCTGACGGAATGTTGGGAAGGGCACGGAATGTTTGAAGACTCTCATGGTAGTAGATACACCGGCGACTGGAAGGATGGGAAGATGCATGGAGAAGGCGTCTGTGAGACTGTAGAGGGAGAAAGTACGTCAGAGGAAGACGGAGAGGAAGGTAGCGATTTGCCTGACGCTTTGCTCGTTCAGGATACAGCGGAAGCTACTTCGAAGGAGTTCCTCATGGGAGAGGAAAATATCAGTTCAAGAATGGTGTAGAAGCATGTCAGAGATGTCTTTGTTGATCTCAGCTCTCCTCCAGGAAACGTGTACGATGGCGAGTACAACATGGGAAAGATTCATGGGAAAGGGACAATCAAATTTCCAGACAATCGAAGGTTGTGCACTTTTGGTTTACTGATTATGCTGTGAGTGACGAAGTATTGGCAAGATTCGAGGGAGAGTTTGTTGAGAACAAGAAACATGGAAGGGGACGATACGAAGGCAACACGGGGGTCTACGAGGGAGAATACGCGAACGGTCAGTGACAGATACGCTTTCTATGCCCTTTGCCGTTAAAAACTTCTGTTGTCAGGCAAGAAGGAAGGTTTCGGGGTGTTTACGTGGATCGATGGCAGCAAGTACGAGGGAAAGTAAGGCCGTATGCCCAGTGCCTGACGTGGGACTGACTCCCTCGGCAGTTGGAAAAACGACGTCATGCACGACAAGGCGGGCAAGAAGACGGAGAAAGACGGGAGGAAGTGAGAGCATGGGAGCCGTGTAAGGCAGGCTCATTCAACCACCATCAGGTTCAGCGTGGAGTATGTGCAAGGGAAGCTAGTCCATGCGCATCCGATGATGGGTACGGCTACAGTTGAAGTGTGTCAGGCGGTCTTGACTAACGCCCTGCCCAGATTCTACATCGAAGCAAGTCCCCTCCTTCCAGAAGCTCGGGTGTGGCTCCCCTTGTCCGCCTCCTCTGATGACTCACCTCAACTGTCAGTGCAACCAACAAGCTTGCGGAGCCCCAGTATGACAAGCCGGCGGAAGAAATCCCGATCCGTTCTCAGGCTCCCGACTCGCGATGGTGATGTCATGGTGCAGCGAGTTTTAGGATGTAGACTCTGACTGCAATCTCCCGCAGGTGGATTCACAAGAAGTGGGATGAATTCCGAGACGTAGTTTCTCTTTCTTCTTCTCAATCCCTGCCCACCTGACTGCCAAGTTTTCTCAGGTCGTGGGCTGCGGCGGCGACAGGCACGAGGCTGCGCGGGAATTCTGTGGAGGAGATTACTGTGGAGGAAGGGAGGACACAGCAGACTAGCTGCTGACTCGGCAAGGATGATCAGACCAGCCCTGCCAGTGGCCACTACAAGTTAGACTGAGAACTTGATAAATGCTATGCCATGATTTATCCGTAGCCTAGTAAGTCAGGCTCAGGGCAGTGGAACTTCGGAATGCCGTTCCGAGTTCCCGGCCCGGCCGTACCGGCAGCCTCCAAGGTGTGAGTCACTGAGCGTCACTCACCCAGTCGGGCCGGCGGCCGGGCGTGTGACTGACGGTCACCGTCGCCAGTACCGTACGGTACGGTCGCCGGGCCCGGTGCCACTAGGACCGGGCCCACCTCGCTTCAATTAAAACTATTCTAATTTTGTTGAGTAAAATGTTTCAACGGCTTTCATGGTGGGGGAGGGAGTTGGATGTTGAGCAGTGGGGGCTGAGAGGAGCAGGAGGAGGAGAGAGAAGAGCTGAGGAAGGGAGAGAAGAAGAGAGCAGAAGAGGAGGAGCACAGGTAGAGTGAGTTTACCAGGAGGAGAACTGCCAAGGTCGCAATCTGTGGACCATGGCAGAACGGAACAATCGGGGAGGTGTCCTTCCGAACCTGGTGGACCCGGACGGTGTAGAGGTCTCCATTCAGAAGAAGCGACAGTATCTCAAGGACCTTCAAGAGCAAGCTGAGGCCGATCGTCTTAGAAAGTTCCAGGTGAAAGGAGAAGAAGATTCCGACCAAGGTCGAGTTACCTGATGTGCATGTGCAGGACAAACGGCAGATCAGAGCCAGCGAGATGAATCGTCAGAACCCTCAAACACAGTTCAACTACAACGACAAGCAGACAGTTCCCTTCGTGAGCTACCAGCCGTCTTCGGACAAGGACAACTTCCTCAAACGAATGCAGCAGTCCTACGAGGCCGCCCTGCAGAACGGAGCCTACCATGTTGACGACCCGACGGCATTCCGGTCGGCGAGCATGCAGCCAGAGGTCATCCAGCTCTTCCGGCGATGGGAGCAGATCTTTGTCGCACAGACCAGCTCCTCTGTGCAGGTTGTGTCGGAGCTGAACACGAAGTTGACAGGGATGGAGGAGAACATCCAGCACCTCCTTCGTGAACGGCAGGCGATGAGTGAGAAGCTGCACCAAGGGGATCTCATTCAGAGTCAGATGCAGTCGAGACTCTTCGAGCTGAGAGAAGATGCGCAGAAGTCTTCGGGGGCGCACAGGGAGGCGATGAGGGAGCTGGCCACAGAGGTGAAGGAGTTGAGGGGGTACTTCCAGGAGGCCCTAAGGGAGAAGGAGGAGGCTCTGGCGACGTCGATCAAGGAGAAGGAGGAGTTGACGAGGATGCTGGAGAATCAGTCCTCAAGGCTCATCAGCCTTGAAGAGAGCCAGCAGCTACTGCAGTCGTCGCTGTCGGAGATGAAGGACCAGGCTGACGTCCAGAGGAAGAGGGCAAGGGAGGGGGAGGCAGCGCAGAAGGATCTGTACGCGCAGGCGCAGGCGGAAGTGGAGGAGGTGAAGTGGAGGATCAGGAAGATGGAGGACCAGGTGATGCCCGAGTCGAGGGAGTACGTAGACCGCTCGCAGGAGGATTACTGGAGCAAGGTACGGAGCGAGTTTGAGGACGTGCGAAAGCGAATGCTGGAGGTAAAGAAGGAGCTGAACCGGCTGGACTCGGAGGCGTCTGGTCTGTTTGTGATGCTGAAGGAGAAGGTGGAGAAAGAAAGCCGATCGCAGGAGCAGAGGATGCTGGAAGAGTCGATGGCGAGCGAGGAGAGGCTGCAGGGGATGAGGGAGGCGCTAGAGCAGGAGCAGGAGGCGAGGTCGAAGCTTGAGGGCAGGATGCAGAAAGATCTGGAGGTGGTGACGCGAGCGCTGGCAGAAGCGATCAAGTCAGCGGACGTGGAGCATGCAGCGCTGGTGGAAGCGGTGCACAAGCGGTTCACAGAGAGGCTGTCGCAGCAGGACGAGTTCTCATCTGCCGTGCGGGAGGCGCTGGAGAAGAAGAGGAGCTTCCTGGAGGAGATAGTGAGAACTGAGATTCGAGGGAGGTTCGAGGCGTTCGAAGACCTGAGGACAAAGATGGAGGGCATAGAGGAGGAGCTGAAATCTTCGCTGCAGAAGAGCGGGGAGAAGGTGGAGGCACAGCTGAAGTTGCTGGGAGCCAAGACAAAGACTTGCGCGAGGCAGACGCGGGAGGTCATTGTCTCTGCGGAGAATGCTGAGCGGATTGCTCAGGAAGTTCGAGAGGAGCTGACGAAGGAGCTGATGAGGACGGGCGAGAAGCAGGTGGAGGTGGAGCAGAGGATCAGAGAGTCGATGGAGGAGAATCTGGCCGGCATCCGCCTGCAGCTTTCATCCCTGAATTCGTTGGTGGAGAATCTTCAAGAGAACAGTGGGGTAAGAGGAGGAAGAGGAGGAGGAGGAAGAGAGAGTGAAGATGGAAGTGGAAGGAGGGGAGGAGAACGCTCGGGGGAGGGTCGCACGAGAGCGGGAGTGTGTTTACTTGACTCACTTGCTCAGGGAGGACGGGACGTGAGAGACGTCGGGCTGACGGACAAAGTTGACAAGCTGAGGAGCGACCTGTCAGCTCTCGACGACGAGCTTCATGATCGCTCCGGTCGTGAGGAGGAGAAGCGGGAGCAGCTTGAGAAGTTCATCCTCGAGCTCCAGAGCTCTGCTCTGCAGCTCAAGGACGAAGTTCTGCAGGAGAAGTCCCGCACATCCTCCGACATCCTCTCCCTCCGGGAAGACCTTGAGCAGAAGAACGCTCACCAGGCGCAGGAGCTAGAGGATCTTCGGCTGCATGTATCCTCCTCCTCTCCCTTCCCTCACCCACTCCTGGTCCTCCTCACCATCCTCTGTTGGTCATCTTTTCTTCCCTTTTTCTTCCTCTTCACCCTCTTCAGTCACACCCCCTCCCACTTTTTGTCCTCCCTCTCCTCCTTCTTGACCCCTCGCCATCCTCTGACCGCTTCTTTCAGATGCTCGACGTCATGAAGGACCTGCAGGAAGCTCCGGAGATTTTCTTCAACAGCACGAGCAGCAGGATAGACTCGCTCCAGCAGGAGGTGGCAAAGTCGCACAGCTCGCTGGAGGAGCACGTCAGGAAGCAGCAGGAGGGCATGGCAGCAAGCGTGCAGGAGCTGTCGCAGGCTCTTGAGGACTTTCAGGGCAAGACTTCGGTGCAGCAGCTGCAGGCGAGGCAGGAGGCAACGAGGACGGCGCAGATGGTGGGGGGGATAAGCTCGAGGGTGGACGAGCAGGGGAAGGACATGCTGAGGTGGAAGCAGGAGGTTGAGGAGAGGATGAAACGTCACCTGGAGCAGGCGCTGCAGGTGCGGGACAGCTTTGCAGAGGAACTGCGGCAGATCCAGACGACCATCGCTGAGCATGCAAGGAACAGCGCCCTGCAGCTGACGAGGATGGACTCGAAACTGCTGGAGGATCAGAGGAAAATGATCGGAGCGCTGGAGTCGTTCAAGCACGCGCACGAGGGTCTGAGGAAGGCGACTGACGGGAACATGCTGAAGATCAAGGAGGAGCTGGAGAGACAGGCGGCTCGCGCCCACTCGGAGATGGTGGGGATGAGGAACGAGGTGTCGGCAGTGGAGGAGGGGATGAACAAGAAGATGGAGGAGGAGAAGGAGAAGCGGAAGGAAGTCGTGAAGGAGGTCAGAGGCGAGATCGGTGGGCTGCGAGAAGAAGTTGAGAGGGGACAGAAAGCGGCAGTGGAGGAAGTGAAGGCGGAACGCACCGCTCGCAAGGAGGCGGTGGAAGGGATAGCGAAGGAGCTGAAGAAAGTGACAGAGGAAACGGTGGCGAGGGAGAAGAAGATCAGGGAGGACGTGAACGGGCTGTCCGCCAGGCTGTTGGAGAGCAGGGAGGAGGAGAAGAGGAAGCGGGAGGCGATGAGGGAGGAGATTCAGGAGGAAACGACGAAGTTGTCCTCCCGTCTGGCAGACGTCGAATCTCAGCAAGCCTCCTCCTCCTCCGATCTCCAGAGGCTCACCGCTCGATTCTACTCGCATGCAGAGGAACAGAAGAAGACAGAGGAGGCGACGAAGAAGAGGGTGGAGGAGGTTGCAGCGGCCACGAGCATGGAGCAGAAGGAGCGGGATGCAGCGATCACCGAGGTCTACAAGAGGATGGAGGTCGTCCGAGGGCTCGACAGCCTGGCAGCGCAGTTGCAAGAGCAGCAGATGCGGGAGGAGCTGAAGGAGCTGAGGACGAGGTTTGAGACGCAGCAAGAGAGCAGCGCGACCGGGCTGCACGGAATGTCGCGGCACCTGGAGGAAGCGATAGAGGAGCTCAAGGGGCGGGAGGGAGGCAGGAGGGCGAGATCTCCTCCCTGCAGCAGGAGCTGGAGAAGGTCAAGAGCTCCCGCGAGGAGGAGGCAGCGAAGCTGTCGCAGCGACTGGACGACATGGCGAACTTGCACAACCTGAAGCTGAAGAACATGGAGGAGGAGCTGGCGGGACTGGAGGGAAGCATGAAGGAGCTGGGGGAGAAGATGAGCGCGCGGGCCCAGGAGCAAGCGCGGGAGCAGCAGGAGCAGAGCATGAGGATGGAGGATGCGAGAAAGCAGTCGCTCGAGTTACTCACTGCTCGGGTCGATGCCGTTGAGCAGAGAGGAAGGGAGCAGGAGACTTCGTTGGATGGCCTGCGCGCCTCTGCGGAGGAGAAGATCAGCGCCCAGCAGGCAGCGATGGCGAGCACGAAGGAGAGGATAGACAACCTCCTCGCCTCCTTGGCATCAGCCAAGGCTGAGCTGGAAGGGAAGGTGGGGGCAGAGGACCTGACGCAGGGCCTGCAAGCGCAGCAGGAGAAGCTGCAGACCTTTGAGCAGCAGATGTCGAGCATGAAGGAGCAGCAGGAGACTATGTCGTCCTCCTTGGACAAGTTGGCTTCGGAGCTTAAGGAGAGCAGCAGCACGCAGGAGAAGCAGGCGAGCTTGGAGGACGTCAAGGAAGCTGTCGCAGAGCTCAGAGCGAAGCTAGATCGAGTCGCGCTCCAGACGGAGAAGTTGCAGGAGGCTGTGCTGTTCAAGCCCCCACAGGAGGAGGGGAAAGAAGCGGTTGGTCGGAGGAGGAAGAGGAGGAGAGGGGGGCTAATATACAAGCAGGAAGCAGCTCAGGCAGAAGCTTTGCAGAAGCTGGAGGAGGAAGTGAAGGGTCTTCGGGAGGAAGAAACCGCCCTCAAGGTGGGAAGAGGATGAGACTTGAGAATTTCCGGTTCGATGACCTTGTTACAGGAGCGGGTGATTGCCCTAGAAGAGAAGGGCAAGGGCGGAGAAGAGGAGGGAGGGTCAGCGGGGCTGGAGGTATGTTCTCTACCCCTTTTGCCTTGTCTCTCCTCCTGAAGCAGCTGCAGCAACGCTTGGGGGCGCTGGAAGGTCGAGTAGGGGAGCTGTCCAGCCTGCGCGGAGAGGAGATTGAAGAGAAGCTGAAGCCGCATCTCGTCAAAGTCGAGGACAACCTCAACTGTGAGTCCTGGCCCTCCCTGCTTGCCCCTGCTGACTGCTGCGCCTCCAGTCCGTCTCGACATGCTCAAAGTAGACGCGCTGCGACAGACGGTGGAGGAGTTGAGCGTGCTGGGAAATCTGCACAGCGAGCAGATCACGAAGCTGAAGCAGGAAGTTCTACAATCTGTACAATAGCGATAATAAAGTTCAAGGTCTTGTTAGGATGGCCCACTGAACGTTCAGTGGAAGGAGGCCCAGGCACTACGGTATGGCCAATGGTCAGTAAGGAAGCCTGATGATATTGGAAAGATCGATGAATATCAAAATATTCTTATGGGTAGTTATGATGTCATGTACTGGATTGCGCCGGATGACGAATCGAGACTCTGAGACTCAAAGCAAAGCCTCGGGGAGAGAGTCATGAAAGTACACAATCTTGCAATTGGGTAATAACCAGAATACAATATCATAGGCTACACTCTGATATCAAAACCGGTGGAAGAATGAAGAATGAAGCTAGATTTGTTTATGTATCAGCAGTAGCAAGAAAGCGTATGAAGGGACCGCCAAGGAAGCGAGCAGCGACGCGCAACACAGGCTCGAGCCGCTCCTCTCCCGGTTTAAATAGTGTCGTAGATGATCTTGCTGAGGTACGGTCAGGTCTCATCCTCGTAGTACTATACATGCCGTCTGTACTGAGTTTACGACTAGCCGCCAGGTCCATCGTACAAGATGCACCCCTGCCACGTTGACCCGACACGGTACCGGAGGTACTCCACTTAAAACTCCGTATCGCCCTTCTAGCTTGTGCTATTTCGGCATGATGCTGTTGCATCGTTCTAAGTGCAACGATGTCAAGGGTACGACATCAAAGGGTACATCCAAGTATGCAAGCATGAGCTCTAGAACAAAGAGAAGAAAATACGCATCTACATCTTGGAAGTTGTAACAACCACACCGGCATTCTTGTACTGTGTCGCCCTGGTACCCGAGAGCTTGGACATGAGCTCGATTCGAACGTGTGTCCGCCTCAGATACCGTACAATCACGCCGTGACCGTGACGGCCGCGCCCTGCCCGGTGACTTCTGAGCTACCGATTTTAACTTGAAGTCGCTGAGATGAGTGGCTGAGCTGAGTAGTAGACGAGGTCTCGGGAATCGAGCTTTACTTCTTCTATCAAGAGGTATATAGACTGATTAGTAGGGCAGCATGCTTGCCGTGGAGGCTGACGACAAAGACGATCTGGTACTAACACAAATAGACTCATGTCAGTGGAGGGACTCTGGCAAAAAGAAATGAGAAGGTGATGACTACCTGCTATTAAGTGGAGACTTGCATGGGGTACTGGGCTCTGACCCATCAAGAAGTACAACATCGACCAGGTGTTGAGCTTCGCAGTCACCCTTGAGCCCCTTCTTTGCCACGGTGTCTCGATCTACCTGCAGCTGACTATCGTCGCTCTTCGATGCGTGCTTCAGGCTGATGAGATACAGGGTGTAGTTCGCCTTGAGCTGTTTTATCGGTGACGTCAGCAAACAATCTCCGCAAGCATGTACCTCAAACAGCACGTACCTGAAGCACCACAAGCAGAATGCTCGCAATGGGGATGTAAACCTTGAAGAACAGCTCCCAGTCGAAGCTCCCTCTGATACTGATGATCTTCTTCGTGGGATACAGCAATCCTCGGTGATACACGGCCCATGTCAGGCAAAACGCATACACCTTTGTGATGCAGGACCAGATGGCTGCGAACTGAAGCATACGTCGGACGACTCGAGACTCGCTGAAGCGATACAGGAGAAGTGCGATGAAAGTGGGTTGCTCTGTCACGGCGGCGAAGAGAAGGCTTGTAGCAAAGTATGGTACAATGCGCTGTAAAGAAAGAAGAGATAGTCAGCGCCTTGCAAGGTTGGACATGTCCAACAGACGGGGCAAGCGTTGTATATTACCAGGTCAAGGGTGTAGTACAGAGCGTTCCACAAGACAACCCCAACCAAGATAGTCATGAGGTGATGTGTCAGCAGCATCCAGTCTATCCGATCCTTGTACAGCATCTCAAAGATGTATAAATGTACCACCAAGCTTCCCATCGTACCAGCCGCTTTGTACTGCTCCACGACTGTATCCTCAGTCCCGATCGAGCTCATGTCCAAGCTCTCGGGTACCAGGGCGACACAGTACAAGAATGCCGGTGTGGTTATCACAACTTCCAGGATGTAGATGCATATGTTCTTCTTTGTTCTAGAGCTCATGCTTGCATACTTGGATGAACTCTTGGTCAGCGCCATGTCCAGCACCTTCGCACCTGCCCAGCAGCCAAGGAGCAACAAGGCCGTCGCAGACGAAACGATGTAGAAGTCCCAGGGGGCTTGCAGGCCCAGACATGCGATGCTGTCGGAGAAGAGACTTGCATCGAGAGGGCCTTGGAGTGCGTGGATAGAGGATGAGTTGGGCATGTTCACAGCCTGGTGCTACGAAGAGAACAAGTCAGATGTACGTGTAGATCAGATCATCGAGAATCACGTGACTATCTAGATCTTTCATTGTAATAGTGCTCTTTCCTACTGCTTGCTATTGTGACCTTGCTGTACTTCATTCCCTTTCGATCTCACAGCATCTCCCTCCAATACGCACTGCGTGCCTCGACCTCCCTCCCGGTGCACCGTTCCCAGGGCTCACTGTATCGCTGGGAAACAAGCAGCCGTAACCCACCCCCCTCTTGTGCCATGAGACCACCCTACCCATGAGAGTTAACTGCCTTGCAGCGCTGGGAAACAAACAGCCGTAACCCACCCCCTCTTGTGCCATGAGACCACCCTACCCATGAGAGTTAACTGCCTTGCAGCGCTGGGAAACAAGCAGCCGTAACCCACCCCCTCTTGTGCCATGAGACCACCCTACCCATGAGAGTTAAATGTCCAAGAGCCTGCTGACCGTAGCTCCGGCTGTTTTCAGCCGCCGATGATGGTTTATAAGGCCACCCCTCATCTCCCATCAAGACCACCCTACCTGTGAAAGTTAACAGCCTTGCAGCCGTACGGTACATAAAGACACCCCTCATCTCCCATCGAAACCACCCCACCTGTGAGAGTAAACAAATGACGAGCAGGCAGCTCCTCGTAGCTCCGCTATTTCCGCTACACCGGGAATCAATATCCGAGAGCTAGCTGCAAGACTGTTATCTTTCACAGGTAGGGGGTCTTCGACAGTTAACTCTCATGGGTAGGGTGGTCTCATGGCACAAGAGGGGGGTGGGTTACGGCTGCTTGTTCCCGGACAGGGAGGAAAGTCGAGGCACGCAGTGCGTATTGGAGGGAGATGCTGTGAGATCGAAAGGGAATGAAGTACAGCAAGGTCACAATAGCAAGCAGTAGGAAAGAGCACTATTACAATGAAAGATCTAGATAGTCACGTGATTCTCGATGATCTGATCTACACGTACATCTGACTTGTTCTCTTCGTAGCACCAGGCTGTGAACATGCCCAACTCATCCTCTATCCACGCACTCCAAGGCCCTCTCGATGCAAGTCTCTTCTCCGACAGCATCGCATGTCTGGGCCTGCAAGCCCCCTGGGACTTCTACATCGTTTCGTCTGCGACGGCCTTGTTGCTCCTTGGCTGCTGGGCAGGTGCGAAGGTGCTGGACATGGCGCTGACCAAGAGTTCATCCAAGTATGCAAGCATGAGCTCTAGAACAAAGAAGAACATATGCATCTACATCCTGGAAGTTGTGATAACCACACCGGCATTCTTGTACTGTGTCGCCCTGGTACCCGAGAGCTTGGACATGAGCTCGATCGGGACTGAGGATACAGTCGTGGAGCAGTACAAAGCGGCTGGTACGATGGGAAGCTTGGTGGTACATTTATACATCTTTGAGATGCTGTACAAGGATCGGATAGACTGGATGCTGCTGACACATCACCTCATGACTATCTTGGTTGGGGTTGTCTTGTGGAACGCTCTGTACTACACCCTTGACCTGGTAATATACAACGCTTGCCCCGTCTGTTGGACATGTCCAACCTTGCAAGGCGCTGACTATCTCTTCTTTCTTTACAGCGCATTGTACCATACTTTGCTACAAGCCTTCTCTTCGCCGCCGTGACAGAGCAACCCACTTTCATCGCACTTCTCCTGTATCGCTTCAGCGAGTCTCGAGTCGTCCGACGTATGCTTCAGTTCGCAGCCATCTGGTCCTGCATCACAAAGGTGTATGCGTTTTGCCTGACATGGGCCGTGTATCACCGAGGATTGCTGTATCCCACGAAGAAGATCATCAGTATCAGAGGGAGCTTCGACTGGGAGCTGTTCTTCAAGGTTTACATCCCCATTGCGAGCATTCTGCTTGTGGTGCTTCAGGTACGTGCTGTTTGAGGTACATGCTTGCGGAGATTGTTTGCTGACGTCACCGATAAAACAGCTCAAGGCGAACTACACCCTGTATCTCATCAGCCTGAAGCACGCATCGAAGAGCGACGATAGTCAGCTGCAGGTAGATCGAGACACCGTGGCAAAGAAGGGGCTCAAGGGTGACTGCGAAGCTCAACACCTGGTCGATGTTGTACTTCTTGATGGGTCAGAGCCCAGTACCCCATGCAAGTCTCCACTTAATAGCAGGTAGTCATAACCTTCTCATTTCTTTTTGCCAGAGTCCCTCCACTGACATGAGTCTATTTGTGTTAGTACCAGATCGTCTTTGTCGTCAGCCTCCACGGCAAGCATGCTGCCCTACTAATCAGTCTATATACCTCTTGATAGAAGAAGTAAAGCTCGATTCCCGAGACCTCGTCTACTACTCAGCTCAGCCACTCATCTCAGCGACTTCAAGTTAAAATCGGTAGCTCAGAAGTCACCGGGCAGGGCGCGGCCGTCACGGTCACGGCGTGATTGTACGGTATCTGAGGCGGACACACGTTCGAATCGAGCTCATGTCCAAGCTCTCGGGTACCAGGGCGACACAGTACAAGAATGCCGGTGTGGTTATCACAACTTCCAGGATGTAGATGCAACTAGCTTCATTCTTCACAGCCTATCATCTGAACTGGCCCCCAACAAACAATTGAAAGTCTTCAAAGATTCCACGAAGAACGTCTTCACCTCACTAAGCAAGGATCTACCAAGTCCAAACAAACGGAAGGCAGAAACACCAGGAGACTCAAAGCGAGAAGGCCCAAAGCGCAAGAGTAACATGGTCTACCGAACGTCCAATACTACAGTTGGAGAAAGAAACAACAAGAAGCTACTCGAGCGGCCGCACAAGTCGGGAACCAACCGAATAAGGGCTTCAACAAACCCAAGTTCGGTGGGAAACCCAACGCAAAAAACTTTCGCCAGAAAAAACCCAACTGTTCAAATGAGGACAGCGGGAGTTACCCAAAGTCGAAGTTAAAGAAGAAACAAGACTTGGGTGACAAGAGTTTCATTGTAAACCTCACCCGAGCACTAAATAGAGTAGCCAATCATGCCGCTGAATCCAACGATTACAGCGCAGATGAGGCAAGCGAGGAAGAAAAATGTCTGAAGACGAAGAGGAGGCTTCTTCACCTCCAAGACGTCTGAAAGAAACTGTTCGCAAGGCTGCCGCTAAATCCACTATGATTGCTAAAAACAATAGGCATAAGAATAAATCTGGAAAAGATTACTCGAAATGTCACACACTACAACCACGTAAATCCAAGGGAATACCTCTTCAAACAGACCACATCCAGTTAGATGCGACCCTGTTTTCGAAAGTATCCATCCCCTGGTTCCTAAATTCCATATTTGAAGCAGTACCCAAAGTCTTCATGACCTGTAGATCAACACAGAACAAGCATTCGCTGTTCGCTATCGTTGACTCAGGAGCAACTATCAGTGTTCTCTGTGATAGTAACTGGATTCGGAAAAAGTTTGCATACTAGAGCGAAATTACCACATCCATCATTGAGGTCTACTCGTAGGCAAAATGGAATCAGTCACCAACAAGGCATAAGCTTTCGCGACTCTTGCCACAATTATTCATGACAAGAATGCTGTCACAAATCTATTATCGATATGGCGCATAACTAACAGTGGTAATACTGTAATTCACCAAGGGAGCGTATCGAAAGGAACACATGGTATCATCACTACAAACAAGGATTTCATACCATTCTATTTTTGCCCCAAGACATATCTATGGTACATCGAAATCAAAGAAGCAGACGTCAAAACCAATAGATTTATCTCTACAACCAACTCAATACAATGGGACAAGAAATCCTTGCTACGAGTAATACAACAGGAGAGTTTTCTCTCACTTCTAAACCTCGACTAGCAACCCATCACTCAGAAACAGACCCCGGACGGACTCACCTATTACACCAATGAAAACTCTCTCAGATGGGGAGGGAACAAGGCCCAGTGTACTACGAAGCACACAAGGATGAAAAAAAAGCTTTCAGACCGACACCTATGAGATCTATACCCATCAGCATATGGGATGTTCGCCAAGAATTTGAAGACATTACCTCTGAAGAATCTGTCGATAGCGAAACTGAAAGTGAACAGTTGTATGAGTAGAGTTGTACGCGGTAGACAACATTGTACGCCGCGTAGACAACCGCGGTGAGATGACGTCAACGAAATCTCTGAGAATGTATGAAAAACACAACACTGATCTACCTGGAACGGGCTGCCCCTTATCAACACTGGCAGAATGGCAGAGCGGAGTCAGGAATCTATTCACTAGACACCAGAACCAGACTCGCCATAATCCATTCCAACGAACCAAAGAACCTGTGGCTCAATGCAATCTACTACAATGCTAGACTTTAAGTCAGTTAGAAGGTCAACTGATGTCGGCATTACTAGTTACAAGTTACTTCGGTATCCTAGTACAACTGAGCCTAACAACTGAACCGTAACCGTGACCGACGGTCCGGTCAGTGACTCAGGCCGGGTCGGGCCCGGGCCCGGATGGCGGCGGCCCCGGCCCGGTCGATCTAGGCCTACTCAGCAAACTCGGGTCTCTGCGTCCCAGGAAAAATGCTGCTCTAGGTGGGATGGCGATGTGGAGGTTGGCCATGGCGATGCTGGTGGTGGTGAGCACGATGGGAGGAGGAGGAGATGCGCGAGGACGAAGAGAAGACGATGAGATCCCTATCAGGGTGCATGCGACATCGCCGATGCGAGGCTGGGTCCTCGTGCGCGGCAAACTTCCCGTCTCCTTCTTCCTGTCGTACGGGAACTCTTCGAGGAGCGGAGCTTGCAGGGCTGGCAGTCAGAGGCTGTCGATGAGGATAATCGTGGACGAAGAGACTTACGAGGAGGTCGACATCAGTAATGGTGCTGCCTACTCCAAGGTCTTTCCGGCCGACTTGAGCCCGGGTGTTCACACCATCCGAATCGAAGGGGCTGAGTCTACCAGGCCATTTTTGCAGCAAGAAGAGATCTCTTTCTCTGTCGTAGACTCCGAGGATGACTTCCATGACGTTCGGCATTACGATGAGATCATGGGTAGCGCTCCCACAATTGACGACTCAAGGGGCTTCACTTCGGGTAAACCGTTGAAAGGGGTTGCGATCCTGTATCACAAACAGGCTCGGTTGAAGTATGAGGATCGGTGGATCGAGAAGTGCATTGAGAGCATCTTGAATCAGAACTATCCCTTCTTCGACATCGTGGAGTTGAACTATGGAGGAGAGTATCACTCTTTCATGCAACAGTACCTGCATAGACTTGAGGGCAAGCGGTATACGTTCTTTTCAAGGGAATTTCAGAGCCATGCCGTAGCGATGAACTTCCTTCTGGACTGGGTGTTTAGTGAGGACTATGACGTGGCATTCAATGTCAACCTGGACGATTACTACTCTCCTGATCGCTTCAAGTTGCAGGTTGAAACGATGAGGGGATGGAAGTGAGATCGACTGACATAGCACAGGCTGAGGCGGTGATGGAGGGAGCGGATCTGGTTTCCTCGTACTTTGTGCGGGTTGTGGAAGCAGGGGAGGTGAGACTGCAGGAGAACGAGAGATGTCCATGGGGTGACATGAAGGCGACAGGGTGTGGATGTTATCAACACGAAGATGAATCCTGTGTACCTCACCGCACAAGAAGTGAGTGAAGCGCTTTCAGCTTCGTCTCTGACGGGTGTGGCGACAGTTGCTGGGCAGGGACCATGTGAGCGAGGAGGACATCTTCAGTCAGCTTCGAGAAGATCACAACGTTATCTGTCACCCTGGAGTCGCATACTCGAGGAGCTTCTGGAAGACTCTGTCTTCGTTGGTACGGTCTGCCTCTCTTTGCTCGAACATGGTGGACTGAACTTACATCTCCTGGCGCTGCAGAACTGCAAGCAGGGCCTTGCTGAATCCTCACAAGACGCCCAGTGGCATGCGCGCTCCAACACTCTGCACCAGCATGCTCGAGTAAGGGTTCCGGGCGATGACGGCCCGTTGAAACTGAGGCCCGCAGGTCTGTTCGGATTCCGCCGACCTCGAGAACCTGTTCCGTCCCCTTCGCTATCGACCTGAACTCCCAGCAGAAGACTTGAGGCTGTGGCAGCGAGCAGTGCTGATGAGCAGCGTGAAGACCGTGATCGTACCCCGCGTCCTCGTCTTCTACCGGATCCATGAGAGCCAGCTATCCCCGTCCGACGAGGCGGTCAACGTCAAGTACAGAGCCGATCTGACTGTCTCAGGAGCCATGCTCAACAAGATGAGGGTTGGGATCCTCACCATCTGCACCGGGAGGCAAGAGACTTACTCCGGTCGGCTGCGGTTGACGTCGGCGCCTGTTGCAGGTACTGCGCATACCTGCCGGAGCACATCAGGACTGTGAGGGAAAGATTCGTCAGTGAGCATCACCTTTGCTTCTTCACCTTCACGGACGACCCGAGGGGAGCGGAAGAGATCTTCTCGCGCATGCCCTCTCCCTCCGAAGTCATCCCGATTAGGGGCAGGTCAGAGGATGCGTCCCCCCTTCCTCCTCCTCACGCCCTTTCTCGCAGAGGGTTCCCAGCAGACACGCTCTACCGCTATCACTACTTCCTGTCTCAGAGCTCCAAGTTGAAGACCGAAACAGACGTCGTCTTCTACCTTGATGTTGATGTGATAGTGGAGAAAGGCATTGCGGCGGTAGAAATCTTCCCCACAAGGGACAGGTTGCCGTCTCCTCCTCCGCTCCTCTTCTCCGCTCCTCCTCTCATGTTCTCTATGTCCTTTCGACTTGATCTTCTCTCACCCCCTCTTCTCGCCATCTCCTCCTCATCTTGTGTTGCTGTGCGAGATCCTGACATCTTCCCAAGGCCCCTTGTTGCCATCCGACATATGATTCAAGACGGCATGGGAACACCAGAGACAAGAACAGCTTCGAGAGCATATATCGCTCCTGGTCAAGTGCTGTCCTGCTCGTGCTCGTGCTCGTGCTCGTGCTCGTGCTCGTGCTCGTGCTCGTGCTCGTGCTCGTGCTCCTGCCCCTCTGCATTGTTTCATTTCTCAGTCATCGTGATTGCTCTTTTGCAAACAGCTATCATCGACATATTCTTGACCATCCAATTTCAGAGCATCTGAGGCCATGTTACTTCGCCGGCGGCTTCATCGGCGGGAGAACGGACGAGTTCCTTCAGATGTCAGCAGCGATCAGCGAGGCGATCGACCGAGACGACGAGAACGATGTGATAAATGAATCTCTGCAGCCTAGATTGAAGCTTGCGATGCAGGTGGTTGCCCTCTGGCACGACGAGTCGCATCTCAATCGTTACCTCTCGCACCATCCTCAACTCGTCAGGATCCTGTCGCCTTCTTACCTCTACCCGGACGGGTCAGCTCCTCTCCCTCCCCTTGCTCCTCTCCTCCCCCTTCCTTTTTCTCCCTCCTCTCCCTCGTCCTCTTCTTCGCCACTTCCTCAAACAGCAATATGGGGAGAGGAGATAGAGAGAAACACGTCTAGATGGAGAGGTATAGGAA